TCCGAGCCCGGCTCCTCCCCCCCCGCCCTCGGTGAGCGCCCCGCGGCCAGAGCTGGGGTTGGGGGATGGCATCGATTCCAGGGAGGGTGCTGGGCCGAGCCCGAGGCCGCTGGTGTTGGCGGCCAGGACTTGGTAGCAGCCCCCGGTGGCGGCTGTTTCTTGTCCCCTGTAGGCATCGGGATGGACTCGTGCGTCATTCCCCTGCGGCACGGGGGCCTCTCTCTGGTGCAGACCACGGATTTCTTCTACCCTCTCGTGGAGGATCCTTACATGATGGTGGGTCCTGCTGGGGGCAGTCCCCAGAACTGAGTCCCTTGGTGGAACAAGTGGCCTGCATGACACCCTTGCAGGAGCTGAGGACAGTCTTTGGCTGTTGATCTGTGGCAGAGGGAGAGGGGGCATGGACAGGCCAGCTGGCTGCCCTTGGCTAGTGGGAATGTTTGGGGAGCCTGGAGCTAGGCCTGAGGCGCAACCCACGTGTCCCTGTCCTAGGGTCGCATTGCTTGTGCCAACGTGTTGAGCGATCTCTACGCCATGGGCATCACAGAGTGCGACAACATGCTGATGCTGCTCAGTGTCAGCCAGAAGATGACTGATGAGGTGAGGCTGGGGGGGCGGGGTTCCTCACAGCTTTCCCTCTGTGACCCATGTTCCTACCTCCCGCGAGTCTTGCTTCTCACTGCTAATGCAGCTTGGATTCCCAGGCCCCAGCAGCACAGTTTGGTTTCCCTGCCATTGCCCAAATCTGGTCTTTGTGTCAGGGTCCTGAAGTTGGCTGATGGAAAGGAGGGGAAGAGCCTTTGATTTGGGCCTGATGCCAGTGGAGGGGGAAAGATCCACTTGGGTTTCATGCACATTCCTTCTCACTGCAATTACCTGCGTACTCCCCTGCCATGTGTCCTGTAGGCAGCTCCCAGCAGAATTTCTGAGCCCTTTGTCCTGCACCCTTCTTTCTTTACCTTAGTTCAAAGCCTCCCTCATGTTTGTTTGCTCATAGCCAGAGCCTCTAGACTCCTTTGTCCTTCCTTCTCTAGGGTCAGCTGCAGGAAAGCTTTAACAGGTTTTGAGCATAGGGAATAAGCAGTAGGTCTGATGTCTCTGGACTTCATTGAGGCTTTGGAGGCTGCCTTGTGTGTAGCCAAGCTTGAGAAACATGGTGCTGAGGAAACAACTCATGGCTGGGAAGTTGTATCCAATCATTAACAATAGTTCAGTAGCAAAGAGGCAGCAGTTAGGGGCTGCAAGAGTTTGTCTTAAGCCAAGTACCATCTTAGGGATTGTGGAGCTAGAGTAGAGCATATACTGTGTTGTCAACTGCTGCAGGCGCTTAGTAGGATGGGGATAGAATGGAAACTGCCTGCAACTGGTTAGGAAAACTTCTAGCTTATCTGCAGCATGATAGGACTAAGGACAAGTGCAAAGTTGTTGGTATGTGTGTCTGTCCTTCCAAGACCAGCTGTTCCCCACCTCCATGCCAGTTCCCTCTGCATGGAGTACAAGCTCCTGGTGCAGCTCAGGTTCTTTGCCCCGCTGCTGCCTCTGGAGTGTCCATTCCCCACCTCCCCAATAGCTGAAGTGCCACCATCTCCATTTGGTGCTTTGCCCTGATCTCTTTCCCAATTCTCTAGGAACGTGAGAAGATCATGCCACTGATCATCAAAGGTTTCCGGGATGCTGCTGAGGATGGCGGCACATCGGTGACAGGTGGTCAGACTGTGATGAACCCCTGGATCATTGTTGGGGGTGTTGCCACTGTGGTCTGCCAGCCCAATGAGTTCATCATGTGAGTTGTGGGGGGGAGGCGGGAGACACTCCAGAGGCTGGACCTCTGCTGCCCACAGGACTGGAACAGGCTGCAGGTGGGCCCTGGTGCTATGCACAAGCTGCCTGCCTGAAGCACAGGGTTTGGAGGGGTGGCAGGGGGCATGGGGGCCTGGCAGGTGGAGCAAGGCGTGCAGCTCATGGTCGCATCCTTTCCAGGCCAGACAATGCAGTTCCTGGCGATGTGCTGGTTCTCACGAAGCCCCTGGGCACACAGGTGGCTGTCACCGCTCACCAGTGGCTGGATAATGTATGTACTCCCCAGCCCTTGTGAGCTCCCCATAACACCCCTCCCCACCCACATTTCGTACACTCTTGCTTCCTCTCCAGCCTGAGCGGTGGAACAAGATCAAGCTGGTGGTCTCCAAGGAGGACGTGGAGCTAGCCTACCAGGAAGCCATGTTCAGCATGGCCATGCTGAACC